ACAAGGACGCTCCCTTTTTTCTTCTTTTGTTCTTTACTAGCCTTTGATCGTTCCGACAAAATTTCAACATGTTTAAAGACTTGTCTCTGGAATGCAGGAACATACAGATACAAAATTGTGCGCCTATGCAGTGCACAGTTTGAACTCGTAATGGCTAAAAAACTGAAAATATTAACTTTTACTGATTAATACGGGCAAATTGATAAAACAATTAACAGAATCGTCAATAATACCAAGAAAATGAATAAATTACTCATGAATTGAATAGTTTCCTCAATTTTTTTCGTCATGAATTTTTTGAAAATCTTGATTTAATTACTCAAATTATTCTTAAAATGTTAGTTTCTTCGGTAATATTGACTATTTTTATAGTTCATTTACCGATCAGCTCATAAAAGTTGATATTTTTCTGTTTTTCTGCTCTTGAACCCATTCTGCTCTTTGACCATTCTGCTTATTGACTGGCCACCGGTTGAACGGTATCTCAATTTCAATTCCTCTACAGGCCAGGTTACTTAATCTTTACCAAGTAAAAAAATTTCTGCGACCATTCAGAAAAATAAATTTTATTTTTCGAGCTTTTGTTAAATTCATTGTTTTATTTCATTATACACACAAAATTTGCAAAGCAATAATTTTTTTCACCTTGAAATTTTTCTGCTGAGAAGATGGATCAAATAAACGGTCAATCCAAATAAAGCGCAAATTCATTGGAAATTTTGTTCCGCCGAAATATTAAATTCAGCCTAGACAAAAAGCTTGGAATTTTTGTGTTTAAGATTGATAATTATAAATCAAATCCAAACGCAATTTCTGACTTGACCTAAATGATCAACCAAGCAGAACGCGCGAATTGGATCCCATTGAATGTTACTGAAAATATAATTACTTCAGTTGAACAGCCAACATTGAAAAAGCTATCGTTCTTCCATCTCAGCCGTTTTTCCACTTCAAAGTAGTTATTAAGCTGTTGATGCAAAAATGAATCTGTTGATTCACAGAATTTTAGGTTTTCTCGAAGGAAGGGAAGAACTTCGAAAATTTGTCAGTTTTTGTTAGGTGCGTAGACTAAATAGATTTTCAGAGCTCTCCCTGTTCATATTACTCAATCGTTACTAGACAATAAAAACACTCTGTAACCGTTCAGAAACGTAACTTAAATTTTTTTTGAGCTTTCAAACCCAGGGGTGGATCTAAGATTTTAAAAAAGTTTTGAAAATTCCGTCGACCTTTTTTAAGGTCGACCAAATTGATTCCTGTGCCCTCCCAAAGCAATTAAAAGACCCTGTTTTGGCCAAACTTTCTGTGCCGCATGCAAAATTTTGAAACAGCAGGCCAGAAAAGGCGTTTTTAGTTACTTTTTGGAAAATTTTGACCAAAAAATCACTTTTTTTTGGCGCTTTTCCCCTTAAAATCAGTAGCGGATTTAAGGGAAGGGGGAGGGGGGTTGACGCCCCTCTTCCTCAGGGATTTGACCCCCAGCCGACCCAATGAGTCTCTTTGTCCGATTTTTTGAGATATCCATTTTGGCTGACGCCTTTTTTGGCCTTTTTTGGCCTTATTTGCCTACGGCGCAGAAAATTTGGTCAAAATTGGTTTTTATAGTGGTAGAGAGCTCACAAAATCAATTTGGTCGACCTGAAAAGAAGCCAAAAGTTTCAAATTTTTTTTTTGAAATCCGCCCCCCTTGAGAAATTCCTAGATCCGCGCCTGCTTAAAATTATTAAAAATTGGCGCCGAAGGCACCTTTTCAAAAATTTTAATGTCCATCAGCCAAAAGCTGTCATCTCAAAATATTACAAAAGGGGGACCTTTAGGGTTGTAGCCCCCCTCTTCAAATGATGAAAAACGAAAACTAAATTTCTTATTACAAAATTGGATCGATATCACTACGAAACACTAAGTTGATATCTAGAGCCTTTTTCAAAAATCCTTCAAAATTTTGAAAAGCTGTATTTTTGGCCATGTTTTTTTTCTTCAAATTTAAGCCTGTGAAACAGAATTAAGTCTTTCAAAGTGTTTTAAGAAACCTCAAAAACTAATTCGGCTGAGCTTTAAAAAATTGTACGATGAAAAACTGTTCTCGGCAATTTCATTTTCATGAAAAAAAATTGTACGATGAAAAACTGAAATTGCCGAGAAAATGAAATTGCCGAGAACAGTTTTTCATCGTACAATTTTTTTAAGCTCAGCCGAATTAGTTTTTGAGGTTTCTTAAAACACTTTGAAAGACTTAATTCTGTTTCACAGGCTTAAGTTTGAAGAAAAAAAACATGGCCAGAAATACAGCTTTTCAAAATTTTGAAGGATTTTTGAAAAAAGCTCTAGATATTTTCCTAAACATCAATTAGGGGCTTAAAATGTATGAAAAAGCCAAAAACAGTTATTCGTACCAAAACAAAAAAAAATAATTTTTTTTCTGATTTGAAATAATTTATATTTAATCTAGAATTCTGGTCCGAAATTTTTTATGATATGATTAAATATAACAGGGATTTTCTTAAAGTGTTTTTTTTCTCATCTAATTTCTGATCAGAAATTAGCTTAATTTAGGCTATTTTTGGTTTTAAAAAAGTCTAATGGTGGTGCTTGGACTCCCGACCTGCCATTGAATAGATGGATGTGCTAACTGCTAGGCTACATGATCTGATAATTTGGTATAGTCTTAGCAATCGTACAATTTTGTAGGTGTTCGGTTTATTTGTTATTTTAATTATTAATGAGAACTTCTATATGGGTCCTAGCTAGAATCCTTAACTTTCAAAGAAAAAAAATTCTTTTCAACTCCCCCCATTGTTCAAAATTTTCTGTTTCTTAGTTGCCTCACGTGTATTAATATTACGATGCAAGGTATGAAAATCGGGCTTTTGTTCCACCCCACCCTCCATTTTTCAAAATGAGTTTTAGAAAACTATTTTAACATGGTCACACTGCAATGCATGAAAAAACTAACGATAGTGAACAGATTTTCTTTTCATTGTTTGCAAAATAACATTTCGCGTTTACCCATAATAACACGTAAAACATAAATCAAAATAGGAGTTTTGAAAGGTGCGGAGAAGTGCAAGATAGCCCAAACGTGTTTACAACTGTTATTTTGTTCACCATGCCAACTTATTTACCATGTTCACCAATTATCTCGTTCATCATTTTTTCAAAACTGAAATTTAAAGGTGTGTGGGGGTGGTGGGTGCAAAAGAGCCAGGAAAAGCTGAATAGCCAAATTTATTCAAACTCTTTGAGCTATTTGCGGTTTTTTGGCACACATTTTTGGGTTGCTGTATTATTCAAAAAAAAATTGTGCCTTGTAGATTTAGGGGATTACTTTTCTAGGTTCTTTCTTTCTCTCTCTCTCTCCCCCCTTGGGTAGTGAAATAAGTGGGCGACGACATTTACTACCATCTACAACCCCGAAATGGTTAAGCTCGTGGCAATTTTTCAGTGCTGTATTATGTTGCTTGCCCCCTCTGTGTACTGTTCTTAGGACTGTCTCGTCGATACGAGCGCAAAAATTTTCAACTGTATTATAATTCAGACCTTATTCCATTTACAGAAGGCTCCAAGTGGCCAGGATATAATCTATCAATCTAATCAAAAGAAAAGGGTCTGCGATTCATCAGCACACCGTTTAATTGCAAAGTAACTTCCAACTAACTCACCTAAACGGTTGTCTCTTGCTCTCTAGAGAACCGCAATTAACCAAATTAGCACAGTAATTCCACCCAAACTTTCAGTTGGGCCTAGTAAATTTAATAGTGGCTCTACGGATCACTTTTCCTTTGAGGTACTTTAACTCATTTCGATAGCTTCAAGAATCCTTCTGATGAGAACCAACTATCTACTGTGTCTGTTATAACTGTTCTCTGACTTCGAGAATCAACTATTCGACTCGCTAGCCAAAATTCTTGTGACTCTTAAAGGCTTTCCGGTGTCCTCCAACTCCATATATTTCTCTGCACTTAGTTTTAGTTAAGTCACGCCGTTCCTCATCAGTCCCGGCATCCGCTTAAATCACTCGACCTCACATGTTTTTTTTTACGTCCCTCTCTTTGTCAGCAATTCTACATGCCAAGCTCGGTTTCTTTTATCAATCTCGTTACGCTGAATAGATACCCGGTAAACGGTAGGTGTCACAAATTGACCAAACAATCGAATGTCATATGATCCTATTCCGTTATTATTTTCCCGGGAATTCCCGGAACTAGTATCTAATGCCGCTCTAAATTTAATATGCCCTCGCTTATTATCTTGCGTAATTTGCCTATTTTGTGTCTAAAGGGGTGTTTTTCCAAGTAGTAATAGCTTCCGATCCAACCGATGGCAACGATTCAAACTAAAACACAAGATGTATCATGCTACTACCTATCACCTACTACTTTCAGCTTGCTACGTTTACTTGGGAGTGAGAAACAACTTCAGGAAGTTAGGTGTAGTTTGTTTACTGAGAGAAAAAAAACTTGAAGTGGGGGTCCTGGGGATCTGGGGTTTTTTACCTATGCTTTCCTTAACTAGACCTAAAAGATACTAAAATTTGAGCCCCTTTACTACCGCTAGTTGCCGAGTTCTGATAGGACGATTTACAATTCCGCACCTCTGGAATTTCATAACATTAGCTTTCTTAGTTCCCATTTTGTGGTTTTTCAATTTTCTGGAATACGATGGACTATGTCTTCAAAGATTCGAACTATTTTGGGCGTGACCTTTTGTTTGCTGTACTACTCAACTTATTGATATATAAGTCTTACGCTCAGGTTACTTTGGCTTTTAATACAGTAGAAATTCCAATTCTACAGGCCTGCTATATTATTTTCAGAAATTTTATCTATCCTATCATTTGGTAAATTTTCAGGATCTCTTCATCTATCCCCCTACGGTACCTCGTAACGAATATCCCCCTATAAAGAAATAAATCTCAACGGTTAAGTATAAAAGAATTTTGTACCCAGAAAAGAATCTCTCCCCTTTTGAAAAAAGGGGGGCAGTTAAAGAGATCTAATTTTCAGAGATGAATTTCAAGTAGTCACAGAGAAAACGGCAAATTTGTGGAAAAAAATTGATCATTTTATTGTTTGCAAACTCAACGTTGCAACGTGCAACTTAAAAATACAAAGCAATTATTAATTAATTACCAATTTTTGTAGTTGATACAGACGTTGAAAAGAGAGAATATTTTTGCTGTTATATAAAAGCATATTTGAACAAACTATAGAAATGAACGAAAATTCAGGCTTACATGAGAGTCTGTCTTCAACGCAATTACGCAGAACTGTATCGCTTATCCTAATATTGGCTTTCTTTTCCGTAATTGGAGTGGGCCAAACATTCGTACAACCATTTCTGCCACATGAACTGTCGGCCAGAGGAGTTCCATCGGCCTTCATAGGCGTCATTTTCAGGTATGTACTCGTTATATTTTCAGATAAGAAGAAGCCTTTTTACTTATTTTACCCAAAACAAAGAAAAACATTTAAGCTTTTGGTCGAATTTCACAAGATTAAGTATTAAAACTAAATATGGTTTTCATGGCCTAATTAGTCATGATGAAAATTTTCATAAAAAGAAAAAGAAAAGAAAACAAATCTATGTAAAAATTTGTAAGTGGGTCAGCAAAATTGGTTGAAAAACTCTAAATTCTTATCAACTTTATTATTTTGTTCTAATTGAGATGTTGAAGCCGCAAACTAGTTTTGGGCGTTTTTATTTTCTTCCCACCCTAAGTAAAATCACGGCGCATCATTTACAGTGCTGATTTACACGATCCTGAAAAAATTGATCTTTTTAACTATCCTCCTTTGCAAAGGCGCAGGGGGATTCGTTACTAGATAAAAATTCACCTATGCTTAACTGTTGTTATAATAATTTATGGGCGTGGCAATTCTAAACCAGTTACCAAAGGGGGGTTATAGAAAACGAAAATGTAATCTTTTCTAGGTTACACGGTGTACTTGAGCATTTTCTTGCTTTAAACGTTGATTTGATTATAAATTAGTTGGTTGCACGTGTTTGGTAATTCAGTTTTGCATTTTTTCCAATTTTGTATTTGCTGAGTTCTGGTTTTCAATTTCTTTCCCGGAGTTTTCCTGATTACATGTGAAAAGTTGAAGTCATCTAAGATGGTTGTCAATTGCCAAATTGGCATATAACACTCGGCCTCATTTTGCAGTTGCAAAATAAATTAAGAAAAAAGGGGTGGGGTAGTTCCTATTTATAAAACTTAAAACTCAGGCTTAACGGGCGTGTAAGTGTCAGTTGAAGTTATTGGCTATGGCTGTCGGCGGAAGGCTGCTTTAGGGTGAGGCTCTCGTTGTCCAGAATCTTCGTTTGCTGGTCGGTTGCAATAGTCCGGACTAACAGGTGCTAGTCTAATGGCTGGTATTGACACAAGTTTGTCTCTTATTTTGACGGTGTAAACGCGGGTCTGGTCATCATCGGTTGGTTTGTTTCCTGTGATCCGCCCGATTGGCCAGAGTCCTCGTGGCGTCATATCCTGAAGAATCCAGACAACTTCTCTTATTTTGATAGGCGGCGTCTTCTTTGTCCATCGTTGTCTTGGCAGTAGTGTTGGGATAAACTCCTTTATCAAGCATTTCCAAATATGGGTTGCGATTTGTTGGGCGAATTTCCATTGTCGACTGAGTGTTGAGGGCTGTTGGGTTTGTAGAGGTGGCATGCTGGCATGCGCTCTCCCGAGAAGAAAATGATTTGGGGTGAGGGCTTCAACATCATCGGGCGATGATGAAAGTGTAGTGATGGGTCTTGCGTTCATGAAGTGTTCAACTTTGCAAAAAACGGTGTTGAATATGTCGTCTGTTAGAATCTGGCTTCCTATGATGGCATAGAACGAGTCTTTGACTGATCTTATGAGTCGCTCCCATACACCTCCAAAATGAGGAGCATAGGCCGGGGTTGAAGGTCCATTCACTCTGATGGTTGGCGTAGAATTGTCGTGTAACATCGGCGTCGAAGTGCCTGTTGAGTTCTTTTTCGGCTGCGGTGAAATTTGTACTGTTGTCAGAAACAATTTTTTTCTGGTTGTCCTTTGCGTGCGAAGAATAGTCTTAAAGTATTGATGAAGGCGTCGGCTGATTGGTCCTGGCACATCTCAAGATTTACGGCTCGTGTTGTTAGGCAAGTCTTTATAACACCGTAGCGTTTGTTGTAGTTTCCTGCGGTTTTCGAAGCGAACGGTCCAAAGAGATCTAATCCTGTTTGTTGAAACGGAAAGAACTGATCTTCCGGAAATCTGAAGGCGGGTAGGAGCGCAAGTTTCAGCTGTATTCCAGTTGCCTGTTGCGGTCGGCAGTCGTAACAGTCTTTTATGATCTTGTCAATGTGCGCGAACACAGAGAATACAATAATCTTTTTGAAGAACATTTTTTAAGTGCTGGCGTGGGGATTGCAGGTTGTCTTTGTGAGTTTTTAGTATAAAGAGGTGAACTGCTGGGTTGTTTCCAACAAGGATAATCGGGTGTTTTATGCAATAGTCCAATTGAGATTTCTCGAGGTGTCCACGTGCTCGCAAGAGTCCGTCTTCGTCTAGAAATGGTGACAGATGTCGAAGTCTGCTAGTTGTGTTATTTGGTTTATTTTGCGTCAATGCCTTGACCTCTGGGTTGAAGCTGTCTCATTGTGTCTGCTTGAAAATAAAACTTTTTGAGGCAATCATGTTGTTGCTTGTCAGTTCGGTGGTCGGGTTTTCTTTGCGGGAGTGTAGTCCTTTATCTTTAAAAAACCTGGCGGCACGCAACACGTATGCTCTTGTTCGGAGAATTCTTGTCCATTTGGAGAATCTGCTGTAGTCGATGAAACTTTGTCCTGTCTTTTCGGTGGAAGCTTGAAAAGCTAGCACTGCTAATTCGTCCATGTGTCCAGTTCGATCGTTGAGTTGCAAGGTATCCGTATTGGCGTCGTTTAATTCTAGCTTTGGCCAGTTGCATTCTGGTTCACATATAAGTTTTGGTCCGGTAAACCATCTTGAGTTGTTATTCAATTCCGATAGGAGTATTCCACGGGTTCCGTCGTCTGCTGGGCTTAAGTGTCCTGGGCAATGTTTCCATTGACTCGCTTGGGTGCTTTCCAAAATTTCTGCAACTCTGTGAGCCACAAAAATTTCTTATCGTTTAGCAGATCCTTGTATCCATTGAAGCGCTGTTGTGCTGTCGGTCCACATATGCGTAGAGCTGATGTCAATCCATTGTTATCTGCGAACGAACTCTGCGAGGCGAGCACCAAAAACTGCGGCTTGTAGTTCCAATTTAGTTATTGTGTGTTGTTTTAGAGGAGCCACTCGACCTTTTCCTAGAACAAAGGCGCTGCTATTTTGCCGAGTGGCACTGTTGCTGTATACAAAAAAAGCGACTGCTGCTAGGGCGCTGTAGGAGGCATCTAAAAAAAACATGAAGAGCGATGTTGTCGTAGCTGTATCCAAAATAGTGTCGAAGTATTTCCACTGTTTGTAGATCGTTTCTCTCGTCGAGAAGCTCAAAAAATTCGGGCATCAATTTTCGTGTAATTTAGTCGTCTCACTTCATTCCTTTTCTCCACATTGCTTGTTGGACTATTCGTAGTCGAATAGTAATAGGTGCTGCTATTCCAATTGGGCCAAAGATTGAAGAAGCTGCGCGAAGTAGGTTCCGTTGTGTAGGTTTCTTGTGGGCGATTTCGTGTAATTTGTCAGTAGTGAAGCTGAGTGTATCGTTACTTACTCTCCATCGTATTCTGAGAATTCACTTGAAGATTTTCGGGTCCTTGATTTCGTCTACGGTGATGGATGTATATTCTTCTGGTATTGTTTGCAGAATTCTATGATCCGTATTGATCCACTTCGTAAGGTTGAAGCTTCCTTGTTGTAGTACGCGTCGAAGGTCTTCTATCATTTTCACTGCGGTGTCGATGCCGTCGGTGGCTTCGAAGAAGTCGTCCATGTAGAAGTTCTCGTAGACAAGTTTTTTTGATGAGGGGATGGTTTTCAGCATTGTCGTCTGCGCAAGTTTTTAATGCGTAAAATGCACAAGTAGGAGAACATTTGGCTCCAAAGACGAATAGAGTGTACTAAAAAAAAACAGGTTCTTCCGCTCCCCAGAGGAAACGAAGACATTTTCTGTCATCGGGGTTAACAAAAACCTGCATGTTCATCCCTTCAATTTCGGCAGTGATGGAATGCTTTCGTTCGCGAAATCGGGTAATTACTCTTAGTAGATTGCAGAGCAAGTCAGGTCCAGTGAGAAGCATATCATTAAGACAAATTCCTTTAAATTTGGATTTGGCATTGGAAACACGGCGAAGGGTTGATTGTGGCGAGTCTTTTTTGAAACGAGTCGGCGATGGGTTGATTGTGGATTGTTGCTTCGAAGAGTCCGAACCACATGCTCCATTTCATAGGATTTCCGTCAAAAGGCTCGATTTTTACTTTTAGGGGTCTAGTCATGAGACTGTAGTTTGTTCGCGACTGTCCGTTACTTGATGACTGAGAATCTGCTGCTGGAATGAACTGCCGTTCTGTAACTATGTTGAAGCGGAGGCTTGCGTTGGTAGTGTCGCGTTCTGTTTGTTGAAGCGGTGGTCTGTTTATTTCGAAACCTGTCTGCGGGACATGCTGATGAGTAACTCGGCTGTCTGAAGAGTTTTGGTCCTCTACCGTTTGCCGAGCTGATGATCCGGGTTGATGGCTGCTGCTGGATAATGTTGACGTCTGGCTAGAGTCCATATCTATTATTGGCTGTTGTTGCACTGAATCAGCTGTGTGTGGGGCTTGAACTGTGTTGGCATTAGTGTTCTGCTGTTGTGGAGTTGTCTCTGCTGTTTTTTCTCGTAGCATCTGTCTAAATTCACCCATGATGTCGTCGTGCTCGTCTTGTATATCAGTGAAGCGGTTGATGAGATCCTCCGCAGTGGCGTGCTCCGTCGGTTGATCTACAAGGTACGTAGTGGCGTCTTCCAAATTGCTGAGAATTTTCTTCATCTCGGTTTCTGAGTCAGCTATGTTGAAGTTCGTATTAATGTCATTGATGGCTTTGTCGTACTCGTCTAAAGAGGCGCTCTAGTTGAGCGATGATAAGATTTCTTTGGGGAGAGTGGTTTTGTTGGGCATGGCTAGTTTGTCGTAGCTGATCGTTGTTGTCGTTGCAGTTGTTGTAGATGTCGTGTCCAGTCGTAGTTTTGACCTACTTTATTAGTTTCTGTCCTAGGTAGCTAGACCTAAACTTGAAAGCAACGAAGCAAAAGAACAATGGTGCGGTGAATATATTTTCAACTAAGTATAACGAAAAAAAAAAGCATCTGAAAGTTACAAATGCTTGATTGTAGTTCGTTCCGATACTTAAACAGGCAGAAAAAAATATAAACCAAACGTAAAGTTAACGTCTCTTTACCAAACTCAAGCTATGTGGGGTCCGAATTGTTAAACCGATTTTTTAAAAAACTTTAAGCAACTGCAAAACGCACTAAAGCACTAAAGACAAACTGTGCTTCCAGCCTGGTCAAGGGGTAGAGCAAGGGTGTGGTTTCTGGCAATTTAGCTGATTGCCATATAGAAAACGAAAACATAATCTTTTCTAGTTTACACGGTGTACTTGAGCTTTTTCTTGCTTTAAACGTTGATTTGATTATAAATTAGTTGGTTGCACGTCTTTGGTAATTCAGTTTTGCATTTTTTCCAATTTTGTATTTGCTGAGTTCTGGTTTTCAATTTCTTTCCCGGAGTTTTCCTGATTACATGTGAAAAGTTGAAGTCATCTAAGATGGTTGTCAATTGCCAAATTGGCATATAATAGGGGTTATTTACAAAATATCCAAAACCCAAGCAAAATTGGAAAATTAAAACGCATTTTTCTTATACTGACTTGATGTTGGACAAAAAAAGTGGCAATTAAAATTGACTAGAATTTCAATAAATCCACAAATCCCTGAATGTTCTGAATGCTTTTCAATTTCTATGGAATCGTATTCGCTTCAGAAAAAAGTGATGAGACTTTCACAAAAAAAAATAATTTTTTTTTCAGATTTTTTTTTGCAAATATCATCCTCCACACGCTATGTCAAGTACAAAATAATACTTTTAGCGTATAGCTAAGAACTAAATAGATCAAAGAGGATGCCTCAATTTAGTTTGAAACAATTTTTAAGACGTATTTAATCTCCGCTTGCGCGTTAAACGCATAAAGTATATCGCGCGTTGATTATCTCAAATTGGCTAAATTGACAATCTTTAAACCCCATAAATTTACCAAAAAAAAGATCACATGTAATATATTTTTCGCTCAAAACAGTTTTTGCGCTCAAAACAACAATACCTTTTGGCTGATAGAAGAAGTGTTTGTCATGAATGGCTAGTTGAAAAGTCGAAATTTGTCTGGAGAAAAATTAAACACCCCGAGCAGAAATATTCCGTCACTTTCTTCAAAAGTCGTATCAAATTTTTTCGAATTGAAAATCAGGTCTAAATGTTTCAACTGCTCTAAAAACTTTCAACCCACACGCTTCGCCAACAACAAAGTCGTATTCTTAGCGCCCAGAAACGTAATAATAACATCAAATAACTAGCCTTAATTTGAAAGAATTTATGGGCGGATTGAATAGCCACTTTCGCCTTCGTAGCACTAAATATCTTGCGCGCTAATTGTCCCAAACAAGCTGAACTGCCAATTTTTAAACCTCAACTTTTCAAATTTTGATCACAGGTAAATTATAATTTAAATTTGAGCTCAGGACATCACTGACTTCCAGGTGGTATAAAAAACTCCGTTCCAAAACGGCTAATTATAAAATCGAAATTAGTTTGGAGAAAAAACTACCCTAGCACAAACTTTCCATCACTTTTTTGAAAGTCGGTTTGCTGAACGACCCTAAAATTTTTCTAAAGGCCTCTTTGTCGCCAATATAGACTGAGTTTGGAGCGATTTTTTGGAGCAATTTTTTGGTTAACATTCTTCAAAAAGTGCCTAAAAACGCTTTTTTTGACTTTTTTGTTGTTTAATGAAATCTATTTCAGTGCTTACGACATTGCAAACCTGGTATCATCAATTTACCTTTTGTTCTTTTTCGTCAACTTCAAGCAACGAAAACTACTATTTTGTCTCGGTGGATTTATCACCGCTGTTGCGGTTTTACTATTCGGACAACTGCAAACAACTTTCACAGGCATTTTTTATATTGCAGCATGTATGATAGCACGTTTGGCGTGGGGGTGCGGATACAGTATTATTTGGGCGACCGCTCCGCCACTATTAATGAGCCTCTTCCTTAAATATCCAGGTCTAGTATGTAGCTGGGTTAATATGTCTTTGTGCCTTGGAGCGGTTTTCGGAGCCCCTTCGGGTGGTCTTTTGTACTCAAAAGGGGGGTACACTTTTCCTTTTTGGGTTGTAGGACTAGCCCAATTATTCATCTCACTAATTTGTTTTCTTGGAATTCCTAAAAATGCAGGGTCCCAAATCTTTGACACTTCAAACGTCGTTCTGGGACTGAAAAGTGTCCGTGCTCTTCTTACAAACTCTGGCGTTCTTTCAATTTGTTGTACTTTAACATTCGTCTGTTCAATTATGGGCTTCATTTCACTAGAGTTGGCACCACATCTAACGAACAAATACAAAATTGATATAGCTGAAACAGGAAAATACTTTTTAGCCTTTACCGTGGCGAGTACTTTGAGCTCAGCAGTATTAGGAGTTTTGATAGACCGTGGATCCGCAGGAGTTATTTTCTGCTTTCCGGGATTTATGCTAATTGCACTTTCGATGTTTTCAATATCTCGGCTCGGTTCAGTGTCGAACCAGAGCATAAGCCTGATCATTTTTGAAATTCTGATTGCCATGTCTGGAATTGGGGTTTATTCCGTCACGAACTCTTCAATTCCCATCTTAAGACGATTAGTTTCTAGTCATGAAGATATTCCAATAGTTTTAATAGACACATACGCGACATTAACGTACACTCTATGCACCGGTGTCGGCGTCAGTTTGGGTCAAATTTTAGTCGGAGGACTAATTTGCGGTCGCTTTGGGTTCGAAAATGGCTGCTTAGCAATAGCCATCGCAAGTGCAATGTCTGGGGCTGTAACTATGGTCACTTTGACGAAGAAAGGAATATTATTCGGAACTCAAAACCATCTGGTCTACGAGTTAGATCTGGATATCTCAGAAGACGGTGACTCTATCAGCGCATAAACTGTCTTTTATGTAATTTTTCATGGTCGGTTTTGAAAAAAGATTTGTAAGAAAAAGCGTTTTTATCAAACCAAATGAGCATCTAGCGCTGTACTAAAAATTTTCACGGCACCAGAAGAAAATGATCTCATCCGCACTTGAAATTTTCAAAGACTGCCCCAGAAAAGAAAAAAGACTCTCGCCATTGGTACTTTTGCTTCAATTTTTTATTATTTATTTTTTTCTTGTCCTTAAATTGCTGTTAAAAAGGCGATGAAAAATAAACTCATTTTGAGAAAACGTAGAACGCAGCCGTTTAAAATTTAATCTGACGATATGTTCCAATCAACCCTTCGATAGCTTGTAAATATACTGTTTTTCACAAAAATGAAAAAAAAATGCAAAGTGTGAGCAGAGTTTCAAAGATTTCATTTATTGTTTCTCTGTTTTTCGAGACGAGTGATGAAATATTTGTTCTCGTGAATTTTTTTCGTAAAAAGGTTGACAATTTTGCTTTAAAATTTCGACAGCATTGTTTTAGATAGTCTGAGAGTTATTTATGCCTCGCTCAAGAAATCGAAAAGCACTCAGAATATTGAAAACGGCTGAAAAACATTTATTATTTACAACAGTAAATTATCGGCTCTTTTTCCTTCCCCCCACCTGCAATTTTTTACAAGTGAAGTTACTGTTCCCATTGTCCGATCATTATGAAATTTGACATGCGGACTAATTAGGATGTGCCGACCACATTCGGTCTTCATATTTAACCTTGTAAAACCACTCGTTACACCATAATATTGATGGTCGTGGGAGGGAAAAGGAAAAAGAGCCAAATTATCATTTGCCGTCTTAATGCTTTTTTAGTTGACCATCCAGACGTTAATTATTCAAAGTTAACTAAGGGTTATCTTACAGGAGCTCACCTTGTAAATTGCAGCGCACGTGCGATTTGAACCCTCAACCATATGATTGCTCAGCACCATGACTACCGCTAATGCCACAACGCTACTAATGCCATATCTTGATGTCCTGCCGTTTTATTTACCTAGCGCCCTCTGACTGGTGACTCAAACAATTCAGAGACGTCATTCTAGCTGCAAAGACGGGTATTTTGTGTTATAGAGCCCAAATTAACGAGAACGCTTGATTGGAGCTTCAGTTTGAAGTTAAAACTCAAAGTTTTTCGAAATCGATTTCAGCCAATCAGATTGAAGCTTCATGATACAGTTTTTGGGGTCTAACATTCGGTATCTCAATTATCTGCTATGGAAAATATCTAAATTAACATAGAAACAGTATAGCTGGTTAATGTGCAAATATCACAGAATAATCCGACCATACTCACAAAAAACCAAAAAAATGTTTCATAATTTTTTCAAAATAGTGTTGCTTTTTCTGACTCGCGTGATTAGAGGATCTGACAAAAGCATGAAATTCAGGCATATTTGGCAGTCACAGTAAAAAAAAGCAAATTGGGCAACGATTTTAGTCGAAAATTTACAGGAAAAAAAAACAGTTCAAAAAAACTTTCCAATTTTTTCCAAATTTTTTTTACAGATTGTTTTTTTTTGAAACTTTAAGTTGTATATTCCCAAGATCGCACAAAAATTTCGAAACATTGCTTTACCCGCTCAATGTTAGACTAAATATCATAAAATTCAAATCCATTTATCTCGACACTGGGACAATCTTTTGAAAAATTTTTAACGTCGTTCAAATCAAGGCTAAAAGGGCTTCAATATGATATATCACACCACCCACTACGATAATTGATTCTGTTCATGATTATGGATGAACAACAAAACAAGTCTGCTCGCTCACCTTATTCGCTAGAAATAAGACCATAAATCAAAAAATTCAACACTGGGAATTTGTGTGAACATCGACTGTTTGAATCACGACTGAAAGAGCTTTACGATATATCACTCGAACAAACACTAAAACACACCTGAATACAAAATTCCTTCCCATTGCCAATTGTCGGAACAACTACGTAATAATATGATGCTGACAAAGCTCAATTAGCCAATTCCAATTTAACCAACTCTTGGTTTGAGATTGGCCGTGGGCGCGGCACGTGCTCGTTTTCGCGATAACCGGCTCTAATTTTCATATAGCGTCCTACCCTGTTGTAAAGCTCGCAACACTTTTGGTTTTTCGGATGATTGCACGATACCCATAATAAACCTCATTTCATCGAAAACCAGTTCAACGCCAGAAATTAAAAACTCCAAAGAAGGAATTATTTTAGCAGGTAAGCAAGCAGCCATGCAAAAGGTTAATGGAATCGATCTGGTTTGTTTCCCTGAGCTACTAAGATATTAGTTCTGAATGAGTCTGCAAATCTACTCAATAACTCAATAGAAAAGTAATTATGATCGAGAACATCGAAGCGTAAGACCAGGTTGTTTTTTCAGTAGTAGATGTCGAGGCTGATCTTCGGGGGAATCCTATGTATTAGCTTTGGAATAGATTTCTGCTTCCGCCCCGCTTTGTATTAAGATAGGATATAGAGTATGAATAGACCCAACATCTACTACTTTCGACAGAACAATTGATTTCACTGTACAATTTTTTACTTCAAACAAAAACTTTTTTCAATGTGTTGAAAACACAACCAATTCAAAGCGAGCCGAGAGACACTGTTTTTTGCTCTGGGCATAGTAAGAATTTAATCTTTTTGGGAAAATTTCAAAACTCAAGCTCCGATCCTAAGATAATGGTTCATTTCAGAAAACTCCCATTTTTTTTTACAGTAAATACATGCAGGTTCTGTTCAGCACTTGCAACTTCAAAAAATAAGAGCATAAAATTAAGTTCCATTCCTGTAATTTTAATTAACTACAGGTGATGCTGCACTTCGCAAACAAACACAAGACAAAACGGCCGTTTTTGTATCAGCTTTCACGTGTTTCCGCTTTGGAAGTGGAATTCGGCCAGGTTGCGATTGACAAGAAGGTAAGGGTCAAGTCAAAGGTAAGGGTCTTCACACAATCGTTGAAACTTACACTCTGCCTAGTTCCCCCATTTCACCGAGAGTCAATGAACGCAAGTAGACAAAAAAAACACTGACACTGTTTTTAAAGCATTTTGATTTTCTAGAACGAATTTTATGTTTACCATTTTTTTGATAAAATTAACCCGATTTGAGAAAACTGGATCAATAAATAAAACTTTCATTTCGCTGGGAAGAAATCTGAAGATTAAAATCTAATTTCGAAACAAGAAGTCGATCACAATTTTCGTGATCTTTACACTTTTGATGTTCGATAGTAGAATTTGTCATTTTAACAAACAAAATGAACTGAACTTAATAAGAAATCTAAAGGCCAACCGCGAAAAGTAAATTTCAGCCTTACAAAATTTAAGATTTTTCCTGAAAACAATCATCGCGACCTATATACGAGCCTGAACTACGTTCATCGACTCTTAATAAACGCCACAAAAATTACCATTTATATTATAACCAAACTCAGGATCTTCGTCAAATTCTTTTCCCATCTTAAATTCAAACACCAATAGCTTCAGTTGACCCTCATAAATGCTATGAAACTAGACAAACAAGAACAAATTTCAATTTCAAATAATGCCAGGAAGGAAGGAACATAACAAAATCAACAGCTTTTACAATCAGCTAGCGCAGCTAGCTTTGTTTCAGTCAGTGACTACATTGCGAATAAATACAACTGAGGCAGAAAAAAATTAAATAATTCAAAGATAGTTTTTACAGAACTGTAATCGATAATTTCGATTCTTGTTCAAAGTTGTGAGCTAATTGCATCAGAAATGGCAAAACTGAAACTCATAAAGAAAATGATAATAAATAAGCACCTGTGGTAACAGCACCAAAACTGTGCATCACTTCAAAAGAGTTCAATCGAAGCAAAGCCAACGATATGCAGAACTCGGGAACTATAACGATCAAAGTTTCACAGGAAATGACAGATAACTATCATCACAATCAGGCGAGATCAGTTAAATTTGAAATTTTTTCTCTCGATAAGTTTATCTCAGCAATTCATAATTTTTAGCCGGAATTGGAGTTTCACTCCTAATAATCTTCCGTATCAGCAGCGTACAATGAGTCACTCGGCTCATTTGAACTCGTTGAGCTTTCGCTTTCGACAAACTCTGCGTCTGACAACTGACTTCTGCTCAAATTCTCCTCTTCTTGACTTTGCTGATGACAAGATTCCAAAATGTCATCGAGTACACATTCAATGCTGCTACTCGGGTCACTAGAACATTGTCGATCGAGTTTTTCCGATTGAATACCTTCACTATTCTGACAATCATTCATGACATTTTCGAGCCCACTAAAGTTTGAAGCTATTAGACTTTCAGATGTATTACGCATCGCAGACTCGTAAGAATGAACCGCAGTTTGACTGACTGTTCCCCCCCAAAAAGCAGACTCCGTTACAAATTCTGCCCTTTCAGTTTCGACAGAATTCACATTCATTATGTCGAGTGTCGGAGATATCATTGGATGGTACGAGCGATTGTCGGCATAACTTTGAGTCTGGACATGTTGCTGGTTATCTACTGTGTGTGACACGTAGAACTCCTCGGTCGATAAATGAGGACCGTCTAGAGAACTCTCGTTTATTCTTGGCATCGGCTGGTATCCAGTGAACCCTGTCAAAAATCCAGCAGAAGAACCGTTAATTGCATTGAATCTTGGGGTTAACGAGCGCCCTAATGGTACTTCAATTGCCTCGACTCGATTTGAAAACTCATAATCTGGGTTCCAGGCATGGAGAGCCTGATTTTCACTGGCATTATGAACGAACCCATTGAGGATTTGGGCCGGCATAATTCCACTTTGTTGCTGCGCACTTGTTTGGTGCAAATTTAGGCTGGGCGAAAAATAAGCCAGAGAAGTGTTCATTGGCAAATGTTGGCTGTATGCAGGGACGTTTATGTAATCGGGATGCAGGGGCTGCATGTATGCCGAAATAGGCGGCAGCGTCGGTATTTTCCTGATATGATTTTGTCCAATCGAAATCGAATGAGCTACACTTGCGCAACAGTTTGAAAAAGAATTTAAGGCAAGTATTGATTCCAAACCGGAGTCGAAAGAATTTGCAGGAGTCAAAGCGACTGGTAATAGTGCATCCATCTGCCCATGTCCATAAATTTCATCTCCGTGCGAGCTTTCACGCATGTTGTGATCTTTAATCGTATACCCCATGTTGATGGGGTTTGATTTACTTCTTTTGAACCCAATAGAATTGTTTTCAGGAGCAGTACTAGTCTCGTATTCGACTGACACTCGGTCCAAGCCTGTTTTCATTAGTTTAGCCATTCGATCACTGATTTGGTCCGAATTCGAGTTTTTCCTTTTGATGCACCTTTTCTTAGTGACTACAGCGGCAGTCGTCTTCGATTGCTCCATCCGACATGCAAATCCGAAAGCGGAGCAAGGAAGGGGCAGCTTTAACTCGACTCCATTGTCAGAACTGGCTCTTTCATCTTTCGAGTCACTTGTGATCTCGGTGATAAACAGACGTTTCATCACTTCAAACCCCAGTCTGAATTCAGAGCGCAATGATGCCCAATTTTGCTTTTTCACAAAGCTTCCATCTTGGATGAGTTCCCATTCTAAAAGAAACCATTACACATGCAGAAATGTTGGGCATGACAAAAACACCATCTAAACACTAATCGTTTGAAAAGAAAATCAACTGAATAGCCAATTCTTAAATTTTTCTGCCATAAAACTTTGAAATTGAATCTACTAAACGTCGCAAACAGACAGTTGGAAAAGAGTCAATAAAGTCAAGTAAGCAGAAAAAAATACTGAATTGATTTTTGAAATCATCTCAACGCTCTGAGCTCAAAGAAAAATAGATAGACCTAAAGCTCTATGAGTTTCTAGAACAATTTATGATTTACTTGTTAAAAAAATTAACCCAATTTGTGACAACTGGATCAATAAGTAAAATTTATATTTCACTGGGAAATCTGAAAATTAAATTCCACTTTCGAAACTAGAAGCCGGTCACGTTTCTCGAAACCTGTACATTTTTGCTGTTCGATAGTGGAGTTTGCCTTCTTTTAAAAAAAGGAATTTAATGGAAATTAAAAAGAAATCAAAAGTCAAACCGCGAAAAAGTAAAATTGAGACTGAACAAAATTTAGACTTTTCCTGAAACAAATCATCGCCACCTATATAAGAGTCTGAACTACGTCGACCAAACTTTTCTCAACTTTTTTGACAAACAGATTCTAAATTCCGTACATTTACCAACATTAACCACTGAACTTTGCAGGCCTACATTAACTGAACTTGCATCATAAAACTGATAGAAGTTGTTGTACTGAAAGTTAATCTATATAGCGTATGCGGTTTAAAATCCCACAATATAAAATCTGTGGCTTATATTGGGCAAACGAGATGCGCGTCTGTCCTTTATTAGAATAGGCTTGAAAAAAGTAGACTTCGTAATATGACAACTACGCAACACTTTTGTGAAAAAAAATAACACATTCCACAAACTTCTCAAGTGTAATAACTGCGGCAACAAAAAAGCTGCCATTCTGATATAAAAACAATCTACTTCTAAAGAAGGCGGCAAAATCAAAAAACTGATTCGATTCTGAAGAGGGATTTAGTTAATTACAGTAAAAAAACTGAACCCAATTTAATAAACCTTGATAAAGGCAAATGTAGCGCAGGCTAAAGCTGCATTTCGCAAAAACGTACCAGAAAATGGAAAAAGAAGCGCTAAATAGTCAAAAATTGAAAAAAAAAGGTAAAACAAATAAAAATCCTGACATTTGCCGGAATCTAGCACCAGACCTCAAGATTGAACGTCGCATGCTCTAGCTTCTGCGTCATGTGCGTCTATTAAGCATCAAAAAGCAGCCACCAATAAACCAAATACAAAAAAATGATGCTAATGCGACAAAAATCAACCATATATAATGCTAATGTAGAAAAGACAGATATAATGCTATTGCTGCAAAAAAGCCACCAAATAAACGAGCACTCTTTTGCAACTTGAGCTGTTCTATAGTGCAGTTTGCCATCTTTAAAAAAAATTAAATAGAAAGTAAATGGAAATTAAAAAGAAATCAAAAGTCAAACCGCAAAAAAGTAAAATTGAGCCTGAACAAAACTTAGACTTTTCCTGAAAAAAATCATCGCCACCTATATAAGAGTCTGAACTACGTCGACCAAATTTTTCTCAACATTTTTGACAAACAGATTCCAAATTCCGTACATTTACCAACATTAACCACTGGACTTTGCAGGCCTACATTAACTGAGCTTGCATCATAAAACTGAAAGAAGTTGTTGTACTAAAAGTTAATCTATATAGCGTATGCGGTTTAAAATCCCACAATATAAAATCTGTGGCTTATATTTGGCAAACGAAATGCGGGTCTGTCCTTTATTAGAATAGGCTTGCATTTCAGAGTTGCAATTGGAAAGAAATAAATTTTACAATTAATGCGTCACGCTAAATTGGTAAAAAAAACTAGCACTAGGGCTAATTAAGCAGCTACAGATGCTATTAAATTGCTGGCAGCAAAAGTGCCACCAAATAAAAATAAAACCTTTGCTGATCAGGAATCTAACCTCCACTAAAGATTAGGCGCTTCACTTCCTCGCATCTGCATCACGTTCGCTTGAAAATATACTAACACTAGCCAGGAATAAAAAACAGCTACAAGTTCTACTCGTATTAAATTGACAAGGCTATGTTTTAAAGCAAAAGTGCCACCAAAAGAGCACTAAATTTATTAGTTACTTTGAAAAAAGTAGACTTCGTAATATGACAACTACGAAACACTCTTGTAAAAAAAATAACACATTCCACAAACTTCTCAAGTGTAATAACTGCGGCAACAAAAAAGCTGCCATTCTGATATAAAAAAAAAACAATCTACTTCTCAAGAAGGCGGTAAAATCAAAAAACTGATTCGATTCTGAATGGATTTAGTTAATTACAAGAAAAAAATATAACCCAATTTAATAACCCTTGATAAAGGCAAATGTAGCGCAGGCTAGAAGCTGATTTCGCAAAAACGTACCAGAAAACGGAAAAAAGAAGCGCTAAATAGTCCAAAAAAGAAAAAAAGGTAAAAACTAATAAAAGTTCTGACATTTGCCGGAATCGAACACCCAACCTCAAGATTCAACGTCGCATGCTCTAGCTTCTGCGTCATGAGCGTCTATTAAGCATCAAAAAGCGGCCACCAATAAACCAAATACAAAAATATGATACTAATGCGACAAAAATCAACCATATAAAATGCTAATGTAGAAAAAACAGATATAATGCTATTGCTGCAAAAAAGCCACCAAATAAACGAGCAAACTTTTGCAACTTGGGCTGTTCGATAGTGGAGTTTGCCTTCTTTTTAAAAAAGGAATTTAATGGAAATTAAAAAAACTCAAAAGTCAAACCGCGAAAAAAAAAAAATTGTGCCTGAACAAAACTTGAACTTTTCCTGAGAAAAATCATCACCACCTATATAAGAGTCTGAAATACGTCGACCAAATTTTTCTCAAAAATTTTGACAAACAGATTCCAAATTCCGTACACTTACCAACATTAACCACTGGACTTTGCAGGCCTACATTACTATCACAAAAACTAGCACTAGGGCTAATAAAGCAGCTACAGATGCTATTAAATTGCTGGCAGCAAAAGTGCCACCAAATAAAAATGAAACTTTTGCTGATCAGGAATCTAACCTCCACTAAAGATTAGGCGCTTCACTTCCTCGCATCTGCATCAAGTTCGCTTGAAAATATACTAACACTAGCCAGGAATAAAAACAGCTACAAGTTCTACTCTTGTAAAAAAAAATAACACATTCCACAAACTTCTCAAGTGTAATAACTGCGGCAACAAAAAAGCTGCCATTCTGATATAAAAAAAAACAATCTACTTCTCAAGAAGGCGGTAAAATCAAAAAACTGATTCGATTCTGAATGGATTTAGTTAATTACAAGAAAAAAAAAATAACCCAATTTAATAACCCTTGATAAAGGCAAATGTAGCGCAGGCTAGAAGCTGATTTCGCAAAAACGTACCAGAAAACGGAAAAAAGAAGCGCTAAATAGTCCAAAAAAGAAAAAAAGGTAAAAACTAATAAAAGTTCTGACATTTGCCGGAATCGAACACCCGACCTCACGATTGAACGTCGCATGCTCTAGCTTCTGCGTCATGTGCGTCTATTAGCATCAAAAAGCGGCCACCAATAAACCAAATACAAAAACATGATGCTAATGCGACAAAAATCAACCATATATAATGCTGTAGAAAAGACAGATATATATAAGGTAAAAAACAATTTCGTAATATGACACTGAGCTGCGCTTGTGTAAATATTGCTTGCTTCGAAGCTCGTAATTTTCTCCGGCCATGAAACTCAAATTAATTGTGTTTGAAATTCAGCTTTGCTTGGCTTAATTTTTTGCTAGTAAATTTACTAACCGATATTTGTAAAGGCGAACGATGAAACCTGAGATGGACGCAGGGGGTAGACCCATTTGAGGTAGAACAAATGGTCCTCTATTTGCTCCTGAGTGTGTTTACAGCGAGAAACATGGTTGGGGAGTTGGACATTGTTGTTCAAAGGAGTGGATTCTCGTTTCACTATGTTTAGACACTCCAGTATGCTGCATAAGTCGAATATACGCCTCTTTAACTTGCCTAAAAAGCAACGTTTTCCCATTTAAACCAGATGGTGATGCCAAATGCACCAAAGTATAGCAATAGCGACTGTTTTATAAATTGGGATTATGGATGATTCCACGTCGTCACGTGATTTTGTATGATATCAAAGCATCTTAACTCTTGCTTAAAATTCTAAAGATATTTTCCTGATAAAATTGGCGTCGGAAAAAACAACTTGATTTCTTCACTATACACGCAGCAATCAAACAGATTTTCTAAACTTGAACAATCAAAATAGCAAAAAAAAAAAACAATTTAAAGAACAAATTCATATAAAACAATAAGAACAAATTTATAATAAAAATCGAGCGCTTTTTGTGTCTCAAAAGCACATTTTTTCAACAATGAGCCAAAAACGCTATTGTGAAGAGTATCGTTTAAATTTGAATCACTAAAAAAAATTTTGCTATGTGAAATGAATAAAGAAAAACTTAACAAGTTGAAAACAACTCAATCTTTCAATTTTACAGAACACTTAAAATTTTTCTGCAATATTCATCAATCAATTCTCTATCATACATATAAACCATAAAAGCGCATTTGAAAATCTCATACACAGAGACAAAGTACAGGAGCTTCGCTTCACTTGCGATACCACATAAAAATAGCATTGCACACTAGCAGACAGGAAAGGAGAGCCAATAAGTCCACGGAAAATGGAAAAAATTTCGAAAAAAACCACAACTAAAAAGATCAAAATGATGTCTGGAATAATGATATATTTGCAAAAAACAGGTCCCGAAACAAATTGAAAATTCAAAAGCAATTATCGAGCGAACTTAAAATTGCTGTCATGAAAAACTTTCAAGTATAAATTATATTCTGAATTTTATAACGTTTTGTACGATCCAGAAGAAAGCATATAAATTATAAATCCCTCGAAACGACACAAAATTCGGTTAGTAAGCCAATAAATTATAAGCCGAAATCATTTGGGCCAAAAAGTTTTTTAAGCGGAAAAAAACAGAAACAGGAAAATATACTAAGTCAAAGTTATTAGAATTACAAATTGCAAGAGTAAATAAAAACATAAAAAGCAACTATAATGAAACTGCATACAGCAAAAAAAATGACACATGGAAACTACGCCGACAAAATATAAGTAGACAAACATGAAGAAAAAAAATTTTTTGAAACGAAATATTTCCTGTTTGAAAAAAAAAATAATTAAAAAAAAACAGGTCCTTATCAGATTCGAAACCAGGACCTTTGCCGTCCCAATTGTATTCGTTACCTCCCGACTAAGTTTGTTGCAGACGCTTAGAAATTTGAATCGATTATCAACCAAGATACAAAGTGATTCTGTTATACAAGTTGTTAACTCGACAAAAAAAGTCTATATTCCGATTTGATAACGCATGGCGTCAACACAGGCGAAGGAATCATCAGTGAATCTCTTGAAGAAATGAGTTTTTTTTCTTGAGAACTATAATTTCAGATCAATAATGATAACAGAGCCAATCGAAGATTGGAAATGAGTAAACATAAAAAAAACACTAAATTTGTTGCAAAAATCTCTTTTCGAATTTCAAAGAAAAAACAGATGCCTTTTAAGCTCTTTGACTTTTTTGAACGATTTATCATTGGCACTTCTTTGATAACATTAACCCAACTTGAGAAAACTGAATCAACAGGTAAAGTTTTTATTCCGCTGGAAATCTAAAAACTTAATTTTCGACTTTAGTTGGAAAACAAGTAGAGACCGTAATATGACAACACGCTCTGCTTGTGTAAAAAGTAGGATACTTAAATTGGGAGGTCAGCCTCTCATCGAATTTCGTCATTTAGTTTGGAAGTCTTGAAACCTTTTCATTCGAATAGGGCACAAAAAAGATACCACGCGTGACCCCTACAAAATGACCTGTAGTAGAATCGGCTTTTTCTCCCACGAGCACACACGAGCATCAACTTTATGGTGTAACTAGAGGTTTTACAGGGTTAAGCCTGGAGACCAAAAATGTTTTTCATGGCCTAATTAGGCCGCATGCTAATTTTTGTAACAATCGGTCAATGCAAACAAACATTTTACTTAAAAATGCACGTGCGGGGAGGAAGAGCCGTGATATCCAGTGGAAAAATTCACACTCTATACGAGTGTGATTACAACAAAAAGTACATAATCGTTTAAAATATAATAGAATGACTTCTGTTTTGAACAATACATTAAAAACAAGTACCCTAAATAGGATAAATTGAAAAAAAAAAATTACGTAACTACAACACCACCATATTGATGACATTTCATTTAGCCAGGGACCGATGTACGATTTTTTGACGGGGCATTTTAAAGCTTTTTTTCCCCACAATCTTTATTCAAAAAGATCCATTGAGCCAAAAAGATCCATTACTTGAATCAAACATTCTGCGCAACCTGCAAAATTTAGCAGGCTGTACTTCGGCTTTATTCGGTTTCAAATACTACCCTTCGCTCAAGTGAAACAATGAGTACTTACACCGTGTTTTTTCATCATCTTTTGTTTTCCACATTGCACAAGAGGCCAAATGCATCGGCAACACCTCCCGCTAAAGCACCACAAAAAAAACCAACATTCTTGGATTGTGTAAATTATTCGAGAGCCATGATCGTAAAATCTTACATTAGAAGAGAGAAAGAGCATGAGAAGTTTCACACACGCAGCCGCTATAAGGCTTGTTTTTGGCGAGAAGAAATCTGAAACATTACCAAAAATATTTCAATACTCAAAACAAAAATTTAATACAAAGAATGGGATCTTTTTAACTATCCCCCCTTTGCTACTTAGTAACGATTTTCCGCCACTATAAAGAGCTAATTCAACGCTAACGCATATGTGAATTTTGTACGCAGCAACGAATCTCCGCCTTTTGAAAAAAGGGGGATAGTTTAGGAGATCCCAAAGAATGCTCCCATGATTACACATGCAAGTAGGATAAAGTGGTTAGCTAAAGAGAGACCGACACCTTTAGATGATCTATTTTGGTAACAAGATGACCAATTACAGCACACAGACAATACTTACTTATTATTTCCACGCTGCAAAATCACCATTTATATTCACTGATTAATTATCAAATTGATCGCAATAAAAATGTTTTTGAAGGCTCCACATTTTGCTTATGAAAAATTGAAAAATGATCACTAAAGTGAAATATTTGCAGAAACATGAAAAATTTTGAAAAAATTCACAGATCATTAAATCGAAATATTTGCAGAAACTTACTAGCGAATGGGTTATTCGCGTCCTTGACATGGCAGTAGTTGACTCCATCCGGCGAGATCAAAGACTCCAATTTGGCTCCGATCTGAAACTCCTCGCCTAAAGACTAAAATACAAAAAAAATTCGAAAAATCTATTTCTTCCATATCAAATTATGTTTTGCTTTCTTTACTTTGAAGTAACACATGACATCTGCTAAGTTCGCCCCATGCATCCATGAAAAAGAACTTCTCCCGTCTCTCTCCATCATTCCGAGCGACAGCAACACAGACACGATGTTGTAAATGTTTTTCACCGGAACACCTAAAACACAAGCTCTCACTCTATTTCATGCACACATTTTGAGTATGAATATGAAGTTTACCTAAATATCTTATGTCAGACAGCGTAAAAAACATTTCTTGCAAGTGGAAAACATTTTCTAAACAGAAGTCACGGAGATCTTGAAAACCTCTGATCAAACTCTAACAAACAGATGAAAACATTTACAAACAAGAACTTCATAAAACACGAATTGATCAATGTTTTAGACTAAAATCGCTAATTGAGGCAGGAGAATCCGATTTTTGAAAATGTCTTATCTAAAATATGACACATGTTAAAACCCTGCACGCACTTCAAAGAAAACAAAAAAAGACTTAAATGGCATATGAAAATTTTTTGAAACCTTAACTTTGGCAAGACCAAGTCTAGAGCCCCAAAAATGCGCCTGAGCGTTAAATCTACAGCTTCAATTCTTCCAACGCATCAATTTGCTCAACTAATTAATGAACATAGCCAAAAGACAGTTGGAAAAGAGTCAATGAACGCAAAGAAACAAAAAAATTGATTTGTAACATCCTGGATCATTCGGAAAATTTTTACTCTGTTGAGAAAGCTGAAAACCAAAATCCACATTAAAACTGCTAAAATCAAATTTGAGCCTGAACAAATTTTTCAATTTTCCTGCAAAAAATCATCGAGACCTATATAAGAGTCTTCACTACGTTCATCCACTCTTTAAAAATGAGGCTCTAGCATAACAACCGCAAACAGTTTTCAACTTATAAGAAAATACCGTCCTATTGCAGCCAGAGGACAAAGAAAGGCGCATACACGATAGTCTGAAATTATGACTTCAACCAGAGCGGTTATGATAGCTAGCTGTCTCTTTTTTGATTCGTGGGATCATTCAAAACAAATTATTTCGTAGCAATTCCTGTTTAGGACCATGTGAACGTTATCTGAATGACGGCACGTACTAACAACGATAGCCGGCTTCGCTTATTGAAAATTACTTTTTGAACAATCCCACAGCTTTCAAGATTTAAAAAAAAATGAGAATCTTTTGCATTTAACCAAACACCTCAGACTTTCTTGATAAGCGACTATAACTAACACAGATTCACAGCAAACCCCTGAGTAATTTTGAATAAAAAGAAAACTTAAGGCTTTTTATCATCAAATGTTTTGGTACCTTATCAAATCAACAAAAGCAGGTTAGTGAGAAGAGCTTATCCTAAAATTTGGCCAGTGGTCAAATAAAAAACTTAGAACAAAATTTCAAAAAAAAGACAAGCAATTGCCACAGAAAAGAACTCTGAAAACCTATGAAACCAACCCAATTACATCAAGAATTATAAATTATCAAAATTCTTCGCAACGGTAAAAAAAAAAGCTAGATCACAACAAAAAAACGCCAACAATAGAAGAAAAATCCTCCAACAGAGAAAATTACAAAAAAACCAGCCAGAAAGAACCACACTCCTGGATCTCGTGAAGAACTTGCCACCACATTCCTTAGCAGACAAAACAGTCGAGTCAATCTTGCAAAAAAATATCTGGAAATATATCAATTTATTTTTAACATAGAAACAATACATTAAGTCATCAACTTCAATCAATTTCAAATAAAACTGCTCAAACCTAAAACACACTTTACTAATTAAATTTTAAACTAATTTCACTCACTTTTTTGAACAAAAAAAAATCAGAAACCATGCATGCGAAAAAAACTGAAAATTTTTTGCTAAAAAATTCCAGCAGAAAAAAAAACGTTTTATTTCTAACAGAAAACTTTGGCATCTATAAAAACCAAAAAACCATGAATTATATTTACCCTCATGAAAATGAAGAAAAAAAAGTACTTCAAAAATCTATCAAACAAACAAAAATTGGGTCGAAATCAATATAGCGAAAAAAAATCAACCGACAACTAAAAAAAAACAATTATCAATTCAGTCGTTGAATACAGCTGTTGAATTACAGCTGTTAGAAGCGCAAGTTGGATAGAAATCATTTGGAGATGACCACAAATTTCAGTAATCCAGTGGACAAAGTTGTTTACGGGAAAAAAAGTGTAGTACCCGTTGTAATACCCTTGCTTATCGCAAGGAAAATAAAAGTCTTTCTTTTTGAATTTACGACAACTTAACTGCTAACAACAAAATAAAAATTTTTGAATGATCACTTTTTTGTTAAATTTCCAAGTGCCCTGCCTTTTAGGTCGCGGGAGCCTCGGGTCAGGTTGTGACTACACGACTGACTAAGACTAAGACAAGGGATACACTAAATAATCTTATCCCGCAAGGGGCTGCTAAGTACTTCTCATTTTGTCATACTGAAGACTACTCATAAATCCACTTCGTTTTTATTTTCATGAAAATTTTTCTATGAATTTATATACCCTCATTAAAGCAGGATGTTATTTTTTGCTATGATAAAAATACGTTTCACAGCTTTTTCACATGTTTAGTTGTTAAAGCGCATTGCTTCTTTCCGACCATAGTCTTAAAAAAACAAGTTTTTCAAATTATTGTCGTTTTTTTTTTCGGCGTGTTGTGATAAAAGGAGTTGAACAGAAAACTGAGGATTGAGTATATCCGACAGCCATACTGAAAACAGCAAATTGAAAAACAATTTTTTTAAAAAAAATTACTAGAATAACGAAAAAAAAAATTAAAAAAAGGTTCGCAAATTTTTTCAGTTTCCAGCAGTTTTTTGAAAACATTGATTCCAAAAAGGCGCTTAAACACTTCCAAACCGGTTTTTCTCGACACTGGGAAAATTTTCTTGAAATTTTTTAATGTGGTTTGAATCACGACTGATATATCACTCAACCCAGAGCGGTGATTATTTGTGGCACCTAATTTTTGCGTGAAAAACAAAAAAATTAAAACACCCGAATACATAATTCTCCCCCATTTTCAATGTCGGGACAACAACAAAAACAATAAAAAAAAATCTGTTTCGATATGACGGCGGAAGTCTCTAGCAATCTCCGACAGCCGAAAAACCAAAACGCTAAGCTGAAGCTTCAACTTTAAGCAGAGGCGAAGCTGCTCTTCGCAAACACTATCGAGAACAAAAAAGCAGCTCAATAAAGTTCAATAAGAAAAAGTAGAAATTAGCCTCGATAGATTATGAGTCTCACATACACTAACCATTCAGCCACGAACGCTTAATATATCTCAAACAAATATAGCAGAGAACAGATGCCATGAAATTTCAAAAACTACAGATCGTGATTATAGCAGAATTGCCACCAAATTAGTGAACAATTTTAATGAACACTTTGATTTGCGCGTCAGGTTGGAAAAAAGAAGGTGCGTAATAATACACTAACGCTGTTAACCTGGCTAGTGTAAAAAAAAAAGTTGAAAAAACGCAGAAAGTTCCGACCAGATTCCTAACAAACTAAAAAAAAAACTTATTTTTACAACAAAATTTGGCCAATGATCAGATTAAAAAATTAAAAATATCAATGCGGTAAAAATGAGTGACCTAGGGCTCAAGAACAGTATACGAGCAACGACTGTGTTCTCATTCTCGACCACCATTCTACGCAATATGTAACAACCAACACCCTATACTTTTCCAAAACATTCTTGGACATCAAATTATGTAAGGATCGATTTAAAGTGTGTTATTTGCAGAGTTATTCCTAAAAAACTAAACTTTTTTTCTTCAAATTAGTGTCGCTTTTATGTGCGATGAGAGAACAATACGACCTGATAGAACTTTAATAAGTTTGACCTAATCAAAAACAGTCGTGTTCAAAAAATGAAAAATAAACATGAAAGTCGAAAACATTTTTCTTTAGATTTTCGGATTTTTTCTGTTGAACAATTCTTTGATTCTTTAACAACGTTTTAGTGCCAATAAAGCGCTAAATGAAAATAAGTTTTTCATTTTATAATTGATACTCTTTAGTCTTATTTGAGCGAGTTGGTCTTTACAAGGCCTACCCGCTCGCTTCCCCGCTCGAAATTAAACTTCAACTCAAAAACTTCAAACCGGTTTTTCTCGGCAGTAGAACAACTTGAGAAAATTTATCACGACCGAAAGGGCTTTACTACGATATATCACTCGAAAAATTCTGATTTAACAGGGATTTCAAAAAACAGGGATTCACGGGGAAAACAAAAAAGCCATAACAGTCGAACAAAAAGTTCCTCCTCATTTTCACTTGTTAGAACAGAAATAAATTTCAATTTTATTTAACTATGATTGAAAATTAATGATCTTTCCGCTGATGATACTCAGATGATTCTATTATTGATCATCTCTCATTCACTCTTTCTTATATTTCCGACCAGTTGTCTGTCAATCAACTGTCAGTTGAAACAATCCTGCCGTTCAACTACACAGCCAGCTCACCTAGATGTTGTAGAATAAGTTGTAAAATATCAAACCTAATTTTTGTGCCAGCTCTTCATTAGTCATTGCTGCTCGTCCAAGCCTCGTTTCCTCGTCGCAGACATAGATAATGCTTGAAAATCAAAAACTTTGCTTCAAAGATTTCTCCAATTTGAGTTATAGTTTTTTAACCAGAAGCTATTGTTATTATTAGTTTAAATTTGGACGAAAAACAATCAAATTTATTTTTCGGTCTAAACATAGCAATAGCTAGGTCTTTCCCATTAAAACCCCCTCCTCAAGTAAAATATAGCCCTCTCGTTAAAATAAAACAAAAAAACGCCATTTTACATGTTTTTGCCATTATAACACTTTCCGGTCTTTTCCATTATAGCCCCCCAAAATAGTTAAAAGACAGTGTAGGGGCTTTACTTTTTATTGATTTAGCAATGAAAAGACTTCATTTTAATCCAGTTTTTTTTGGGAGTGTTTCTAGTTTGTTTTCCAGCAGGTTGGTTAGGTTTCCAGTAAATTGGAGATATTCATTTATTTTATTCGTCAATTTAAAATGAAACCTTTCCAAAAAACGCGTTCAATCATGTGATATTCTCAAATTCAGCACTCATGAAATTGTTTCACATCCCTAGAAAACTTACTGAAATAAGTGGCGGATGGTACCTTTAGACCCATAAGTAACCGTTAAGAATTTCCAAACTATTGTGATTTTCGAAAAAAGAAAAAGATATAACTAGTTTCAGAGTACGAGGGAAAATGAAAGGAGCGATAAGTGAAAACGATCGCTTTTTCTGACAAATTGCTTCTGCAATAAAAGTTAATAGGTAATTATTTTTGCCCTTCAGTACAAGTAAAACAAAATAAGTCAGTTTAGTCTCTAGTTTAGTACCATCTAGGTAAATTCTCGCAACCTAGCACGCATCACATTATTAGTTTTTATCCAAATGTTTATTCTATAATACCGTTTCGTTAAGACTTTGACGCTGCCTTGGTCGTTTTCGGTTTTCAGTATTTGTCGAAGCGATTTTCGATCTGGAAAAGCTTTGTCTCCATACAAAGCTAACAACTCTGGTTTCACAAAACAGCCCTGACATTCTTCGTCCCCGAGAACAGTCTGATCGCCCGTGTGTTCTATTGACTCGAAATCTTCAATGCTCGAGTTTTCCTGATCAAACTCGTCGAAACGTTCATTTTCGCGAATGCCTTTAGGGATGCTCATGATCCCGGCTATAACCGCTCTGAAAAAAAACCTGTTCTGAATCGAATTCTCGAGGAACAAGAAAAAATCGTTTCATGTTAAAGAAATAAAGAAAAAACTGATCACTTGTATATTGTGCTAGTCAGCCATTTACATAAAGGAATTCGGTAAGAGTATCAAAATACTCAATTCTACGCTTAAAAACATTCAGCTTTCCAAATGAAAATAGTTTCAAATATTGCCAAATGAAAATAGTTACAAATATTGTGCCAGTCGGTCATATTTGGAAGTTTGACCTTGAGAGAAGCAAAAAACACTTGATTTTGGAGTGAAATTTAATTTTTCAAAATTTCGAATGGAACCTGTCATGCACGATTTTCTCGCGAGAACTGAAAATCAGAAAAAGAGATCAGAACAATTTCAGAACAATTGAGTCGAAAATGCGGGAAAGTCGCAAGAAAAAGCAGTAGGAAATTGCTATTCGCAATTTCCATCACTATAATAATCAAGAGTAGAGCTGTTCCATCTGTGACAGAGACGAGAGCATTCCCACGAGTTGGATTATTACGATTGGAATACTATTATTGACTGGACCAGAGTGAACCTTCGGTGGAAAGGTGGACAGCTAGAGTGTCCCAATGGTTCAAGAGAACTTGCAGTCTAGAGTAAAAACTTGTTCTTAAAACTGACTGACATTAAACTCATTTTAGTTACTTTGTTGATTCTTGAGTTGTTTACCGACTTATTTTACTTCCTGGTTCTTGAGCGTGCTACTATGTGAGTACAAATTTAAATTCTAGAGTGTGTTTTATGATTGTTATGTTGAGGTAAGGCGAGTTTTAGGTTGATCCATCTGAAATGGATCAAAGTTCCACTGTCTAAGAAAAAAGCAACTTAACGGATTGTTCCAACCCGGTTTTTAACGGCGTTCATGTATTTTGGGTATCTAGAGACCTAAGTATGGGGACGTTTCTAATTCTAGAGTGGGGGGATATTTTAGTAGTAGCCTTTAAGCTGTAACGGGTCGTAGTCTCATGTCACAAGCGAACCGAACTGGCTCCGACCGTTCTTGAGGTAGAAAAACACAAGAGATAGTGTCCCTGACCCTTGAGCCAGTGGTTATAGGGCCTATTTTTCTTAAGCCTCATGTGTGACTGCAGTAGACGAATGTTACATAGTGTTTTTATGGCGCTCCTGGGTGTTTACATCAAGACTACGGAGTCGAACCCACTTGAGACAGCTTCGGGCTGAATGCCCATTCTAGAGTACCGGCGGTACGGTTCGACAGGAACGTGCAAACCTTCCGGTTGTACCGTGATAGCTTTTTAAGAAAACTCGAGAAAATTTCCTGGTACGCTCTCCGAACGAGGCTTAGCTAACCGAGTAAAGGGGGGCAACTAGGGAGACAAAAACACGAGCAAAAAGACAAAAAGCAAAACAAAAACCAAAAAAGAATAGAAAAAGGAACAAAAACCATAAAACGAAAAAAGACAGTGACTTTGACACCAGATTAGTTGGATCAAACCTTTATATTAATTAAATAGTATACCCATACTGTTTTACAAGTTCGATCGTTTCGATCAACCTAGCAATTTAAACCAGTAAACCGAATAAAGTGCCCGAAGTGGGGCGTCGTCAAGGGTTTTCAGATAGCTTGGAACTTAGCTGGACCAATAGGAGACTTGACTGGAAGAGGTGACCAGCCGAGTGGGAAAGTGGTTCAGGGACACTTGAGCTGAACCAATAGGAGACTGGACTGGAACAGGTGACCAGTCGAGTGGGAAAGCAGCCAAGAAGGATTTGGCAATTCTCGAGTTCTCAAGTTGGGCAGAACGGGTATCGTTAGAATCCACATTACATTATAGGAGATAAGTGTAAAATTGGATAAGCGAAATCCCCCAGTTTTGAGGAACGTTTTTACTTGAGCAGGCCTGGAAACAGGTCTACGGTTTTCTCTTGAGAGGTTTAGCACCCGGCGCTTAAAGTAATTTTTAGGCTTAAGAAGGGGGGCTAGAAAGGGGGGAGGTTAGAAGGGGGACTGGTTAAGTTAGAGGTTGGCGGTTGTAAATTGTAAAAAGGGGGAAATTAGAGTAACTAATTAGTCGACATCGTTGACTTAGTTACATTAGAAATTAACACGCGTTGGTAATATTAGGTGGAGATCCAAAATTCAACTCGAGTTAAGACTGGTACGCTGGTTGGTTTGGTAGGGGGGACCGGATATAAATAGCTTTTGTGAAACCCCATAAGATCACTAGTGGGGGGAGGAAAACGCGTGGCAATTAGGTACCAGACATTTTTTTCGACGAAAGGTAGACATTGGTCACCTTTGAATTTCAGGTGGGCTCATTTTTCTGTTTTTATTATTTTTCTTACTTAGATTTTTGTTGCATTTTAGTGAGGATTTGTGTTTGGTTTTATACGAACAGGTGATCACAAGATACCTGCGCACCTACATTGAAATAGAAACAACCAAAAAGAAGAGGGGGGTCAGCATTTGGCTTTTAAGAGAGGGTTTTTGGGAAAATTTTACTAGAGCTTGAGTGGTGGTACAAGGTACGGTGATTCAAGAAGACCCTACAACGAGGAAGACACTCCGTGACGAGTCTTGGGACAGTACCGAAGAATTCTTGTGACAGAGCAGTCTTGGGACAGTGGTCTTGGGACAGGGTCTTGGGACAGTGGTCTTGGGACAGGGTCTTGGGACAGTGGTCTTGGGACAGGGTCTTGGGACAGTGGTCTTGGGACAGTGGTCTTGGGACAGTGGTCTTGGGACAGGGTCTTGGGACAGTGGTCTTGGGACGGGGTCTTGGGACAGTGGTCTTGGGACAAGGGTCTTGGGACAGGGTCTTGGGACAGGGTCTTGGGACAGTGGTCTTGGGACAGGGTCTTGGGACAGGGTCTTGAAACAGTGGTCTTGGGACAGGGTCTTGGGACAGTGGTCTTGGGACAGGGTCTTGGGACAGTGGTCTTGGGACAGTGGTCTTGGGACAAGGGTCTTGGGACACTAGTCTTGGGACACTAGCCTTGGGACACTGGTCTTGGGACACTGGTCTTGGGACAGTAGTCTTGGGACACTAGCCTTGGGACAGTAGTCTTGGGACACCAGCCTTGGGACACTGGTCTTGGGACACTACCCTTGGGACACTAGTCTTGGGACAGTAGTCTTGGGACACTAGCCTTGGGACACTAGTCTTGGGACACTAGCCTTGGGACACTGGTCTTGGGACACTGCCCTTGGGACACTAGTCTTGGGACAGTAGTCTTGGGACAGTAGTCTTGGGACACTAGCCTTGGGACACTAGTCTTGGGACAGTAGTCTTGGTACAAGGGTCTTAGGACACTAGCGGAGAGTACTGTGATAGTGACGAATAGTCTTGGGACGGTATAAAAATTGAAGTAGAATCACAACAAGTGTGTCTTAAGACAGAATAAGACAAATCGAAATAGGTACGGTTAAGACCAAATTAAGGAAAGTTTTTCGGAGGTTTTAGAAAGAGAATTGGATAAGGTTTTTAACACGTTGTACAGAATTTGTTACCACAAAAAAAAAAAAATATTTTTTTTACCCTTAGAATAGAATCGTGTATATAATAAAATTGTAAATAGGAGCAGTTGTAAATAGAAATAATGAGGCGGAGTAGGGTACCGGTGCTCGAAAAAAGGTCAAGTGGATCAAACACGAAATATAATTCATCGCTGCGCGGAACGACATCAACGGGCCCAAAGATAACGAAGACGAACTTTTCAGTTAACATGGTCAGCACAAGGAGTACAGCGGAGAATAGGGCGAAAGAGGGCACGGAAGGGGAGCGAGTAGAACCCACCATCGAGATTGATCTAGAGACACCCGATCAAAGTGTGGATGAAACAAGGAAGATGGCGACAGAGTCAACTCCAATGCCCAATGCAGAGGAACCGAACCAGAAACCCATAGAGTTCTCACCGATAGATGACGCGGAAGATGCAATAGGCAACACCGAAGAAACGGTGAAAGAAGACTCTCAAGTAAAGAGGACATCTTTTACGGAAAAATTGGGAATAATGTTCGGAATAAAAACAAAAGAAAACGTGACTGAAGAACCAAAAGCAGAAACAGCACGAACATTTGGGACAGTGAGCACGAAGACCTCAGAAGCCAATCCAAGAGAGGAACAAGCTAAAGCAGAGGCTACGGCCGAAGAGAGACCGACAGCTGACCATGAAGAGACTACCATTGAGCTGGGTGACTTGTTGGCGAAATTAAATCAGATTGACAAAAGACTTAAGCACAGTGAAGAAGACAGAGAGGTGATAAAAAAAGGAGATAAGATACAACAAGCACGAGTATCTAGACAGTTATTTTAACCTAGCTAAGGCAACAGATGAGAGACTCAAGGAAATGTCAGATAAGGTAGAAGCCACCAATGAAGAACGAGAAAAGAACATCAAAACAGACATGCAACAGTTGAAGAACCGATATGATGATGTCAACAGCCAATTAGGGAGCCTGGAAAGGAGAATGGACACAATGAGCAAGAGTCAAGCCGAGAGTTCGTGTGCAATACAGGCGAAGTTGGATGCAATCTTGAGAGGTTCCACTCCACAAGAAAGACCGGCAGCGGATCGTACGCAAAGCACCAGAGTTGACTTTGTAGAACCACAAAGGAACAAACGGCAATCGACACCGTTGCCCTTAACCAGGGATGCGATAAGCATAGCACCAACAGCTGCGAAAACAATAATGAAGAATGGAACGTCGAATACAACGACTGCTCCGGGAGATTCAACAGCTAACAGCAACACAGGACCGGATGCTATGACATGGGCCAGCACTTGGGAGATGATGAACAGGACTCTAGAGGCCTTCGCCACGAGGAACACTGACTCGAGCGACAGGAGAGAGGGAAAATCAAGAAAGACATTCAAGAAGCCAAAAGAATTCAAAGACGACTCCGATGGATGCATTGACACTTGGGTGGAAGTGATGAGATTACATCTAGAACAAGACAACTTGAGTGACGAAAGACAAGCATGTACAGCCATACTGAGCAACTTGGAAGGA